GCCGGGGGCGGGGGCCGGAGGCCGCCGCCGGGTCACGTGGGTGGCAGGCGGGGTCCTGGCCCTCCCGTGGGTTTCTCGCGGGTGACCCCTCTGCAGGGGATAGGGGCGTATTGGGGATCACCAAGAGCAGCCACTGAACGTGTAGGGACCCTGGAGTTCGGGCACCCACATTGGATCTCCCTTTAGACTCCGAGGGGTATGCATGCGCCAGTCCCCTAGAGGAAAAGGGCGCTCCTTCCCGAGTGAAGGGTCTTGCTTTGCTCCCCTGTCCTTTCTACAACAAGGCGAAGGGCTGTGTGTGACCCCAATTCTGCCAAAACGCCCGCGCAAGTTAGAAAGGACTTGGGGTGGGCAGTCCTACATCTTGTTTGGAAAGTGTTGAAGGGGAGCCCTTTTGCGCCCAAAGTGGCCGATCATTTAGGCGAAATGGGGAAGACCGGCCTAAGGATTGGCACTTGGGGTGGCTTTGTGAAAATAGAGAGGGTCGCACCGCCGTGGTTTTAGGCATGATGGCAACAGGAAGTGTCACATGTGGGTTCCCTAGCCCTTAGAATGGGCAGACCTTGCCGCCCTTTCAGGAAGCTGATCGGCTGTGGGCCGGCTGCTTGAGAGCGCTGCGAGGTTGTCCCAGTGCCTCTGGGGCTGAGCCCTGGCTCCTCCCAAGGTGGGAGGATCCGTTAGACGCCAGCGGTTTCCCCAGGTGTGGTCTCTGACTACCTCACCCGAGTACAGTAGGTTGTAAGGTGCGCTTGATTTGGTGGTTGCCTGCTCCCCGCAATGGCTTGATTCTGAAGTAGCTTTACCTTGGGAAGTTGGTGCTGTTGGTTGGGCTGATACATAGCTCCGTATAAGCATCCCAAGAGATTTGTCTCAAGGTAAAAAATTTTTAAAACGTGTTTTTTAAGAGTGTAGGAAATACAGAACCTGAACTCGGGGGGATTTGGGTTTCCAAACCATGAGCTGTGGTCGTAAGTTTGTTTCATGGAGAAAAGTTTATTTGAAAGTTGCTCTACGTGTCTAAAATGTAAAGAGTGTGTTCAAAGGGATCTTTGAGCTGGAGAGGCAGCCGGCATCAGTAAACCTGTAATCCCCTTACTCAGGAGGCTGAGGCAGGATGACCAAGGCCAGCCTGGGCTACAGAGTGAGCTCAAGGCCAGCCTGGACTACCTAGCAAGACCCTGTCGACCTGTCTCAAAGAAAGGCTGCTCTTTTGTTCTGTCACGTGAAGATTTCGGTTGTCTTGAAGCAAAATGGACCCTGGGATTTGTTCTGTGTACTTTGTGAAGACTTTTGAAGGTGAGGGAGATGAAGGAAAGTTTTAGTTAGTTGGCACATAAACTGAGCTGGAGTCACACATTCTAGCTCTGCTTGCAGCGGGGTGCCTACATGAGGGGTACTTGCTCTTGGGGGGCGACCCCAGGACCCTCCCTCAAATCAGAGCTGCCGTTTCTTTGATCCCTTAGACAAGAGTCAGTGTGGATGACAGCCTGGCTGCCACAGTTATGGCACCTGTCCCACCAAGAAAGGGATAAGGGGCATGTTGAAGTTCCTAGAGGGCCTGGAGGCCTCTGAAGTCTCCTTCCGGGGTGACTTCACACCTGCAGGCTCTCCTCCAGTGAGGAGTGGCTCCTCCCACAGCCAGCCCCGAGATGCTAGGCTTGGGTGGTAACTTTTTTGTACTTCCTACTTACTTTCAGATCGCAGCCAAAATTGGAGGCGATGCTGCCACAACCGTGAATAACAGCACTCCGGATTTTGGTTTTGGGGGCCAAAAGAGACAGTTGGAAGATGGAGGTAACTCTCAGCGGCTGCTTTTCATTTGGAGGCAGGGCTGGGGCAGGAGCAGCACTTCTGCTTGTTGGACTGGTGCTTAGAGTGGGTACTGCTGTGCAGCTTCCTAAAACCTTGGTGAGCACAGCTTTGTTCATTCTGTTTTGTTCTGTGCATCGCCCTGAGGTATCAGGTGACTGAGAAGAGGGCAGGTTGATGTGACTGGGGCCAAGTTGTGAGTTCCCAAGATTGTTCCTTCCTAGCAGGGAACCTGGGAGCCTGCTGTACAGTTGAACCAGCCCTAGAAGTGCAGCATTATCTAGGGGACACCAGTGGCCCCATTCTACTTGTGACTGCAAGCCCCCTGGCCTCCAGGCAGACCTGGTTCTAAATTGCAGCAACTCAGTGCTGCCATCACAGTGAACTTTTTGAAGGAGCTCTGGGTCTTGGTGGCAGGGATGAGGAGTGGGGAGTGTGTGTCCTGTCCCCCACCCCATCTGGCTTCTGTCTGGGCTCTTTTTTTTTTTTTTTTTTTTTTTTTTTGTCTGGGCTCTTGTCAGGGAATGAGTGTTGTCTGCCCCAGATGGGGCACCAGTGTTGGGTGGGCGCAGCAGCTGATATCCTTTCTTCCACAGATCAGCCAGAGAGCAAGAAGCTGGCTTCCCAGGGAGACTGTAAGTCCACTGGGTGACATGGGCACAGGCACCTTGGGACTGGAGGTCGTGGGGAATCCAGAGCAGAAAACGCTAAGCAGCTAGCACCACTTCTGCATGGAGGCGCACAGTGTTCCCATTTCAGAGCACCCATAAGTTTAGGGTTCCCCAAACCTAAGCTGAGGTTGGGACTGAAACTGTTTATGAGACACCCCTGCCTATAATGCTGTGTGAGGAGGGGCTGCAGCGCCCATGAGCTGTGGGTGCCTGTGCAGAACTGCGATGATAAATACTAGTTGGCCTATGCGGGCAGGGCTGTCTTGGGACAGGCACATGTCCCCAGAGAGGAGCCAAGCTAACATTCCCTTGGGGATTTTTCTTCACAGCGATCGGTTCTCAGCTTGGACCCATCCATCCTCCACCACGGTGAGTTGTGCCATGGACAGCACTGTGCAGTCTCTGCTGTTTCTTCGTGCTCCCTGAGGCACACTGTTGGGGACTTCCCCTGGCCCAGAAAGAGCACAGAGAGCCCTGTTCCCTCTGTTCTGCCCGATATAGGCTGGGCATGGGGCGCTGGTGGCTACAGTGGCCCAAGAAGGTCTGTGTCCCCATCACTCCCTCTCCCAGGCTGGGGAAGCTCAGGCACACAGATTAGTCTCCGCAGAGCTTTGGTCCACTGAGTGTCCCAGAGCCTGTGGTCTTTGCTACTTTTTGGCTTCCTCAGGTAGACGTAGTGAACCCAGCATGGCTTGTTTGGAAAGGGCCATCACTTTTTTTTTTTTCAAACAGGCTGATAATTTTATAAAATAAACATGATTTACTACAGAAGTGAAATGACTAAGACATGTTAACTAGTTCTGCCTGAGACATGAAATAATTTGGGCTTGCTGTAGAGACTAACTTTCTCTTGCTCCCACTCTGAGCCTGAGGGATGACCACAGGCTGCTGCCCCCAACCAACTCTTGGGCACAGATGGAGCCACTGAGGCTCTCAGAAACTGTGCAGCCTGCTGTCTCATCACAGTCTGCTTAGGCCTGTGGAGACTTGGTCCCCAGCTTGTGAGAAGCAGAGTTTGCAAGGGGAGGGGGCAGAGCTGTGACTTCCAGCAGGGTGTTTTCTCAGAAAGACCCTCTGGGCGCCTATCCTACCCCACTGGAAACTGACTCTCCATGTCTGTATAGGACTTCAATGACAGAAGAGTACAGGGTCCCGGATGGCATGGTTGGCCTAAGTAAGTTTGGGTCTCCCAGGTGGGAGGGTGTCCTGGAATCTCTGGTTTAAGGGGGTTTGTGCTCTCTCATGAGTGGAGAGAACGGGAGTTCTGGAAATGACTTCTCTCCCTTCCCTCTTCCCCAGAGGGGCTGCCCTAAAACCCCAACCCCAGTCTGCTGAGTCCTGGATACCCTCAGTTAACCTCTGTTTTTGTTTTTTCTCCATCTAGTCATTGGTAGAGGTGGTGAACAAATTAACAAAATCCAGCAGGATTCGGGTTGTAAAGTACAGATCTCTCCAGGTATGCACAAGAGACCCAGCTTCCTGCTGGAGTGGGCTCGGGCTTGGGCTCGGGCTCGGGCTCGGGCTCTTCGTGCTGTTAGTCTTTCCTGGGGCTCCTCCTCACTTGAGCATTTCCTTCCCATTTCCCAGTGTCTGTTACATGCTGTGGCTCTTATTTACATGCTCAGTTTTCACACCAGAGGAACAATGTGGTATTCACATGTCTGTCCGGTGTATTTCTCTTAAGGGTATGATTTCAAGGCACAATCCATTTAGCCAGAAGTGCCTTGCGAAGAGTAGTACTCCATTGTGTAAAAATACCACAGCTTCTTTATCCATTCATCAGTTTTTGGTTTTGTGAGACAGCCTAGCCTCACTGTAGCCTAGGCTGGCCTTGGGCTTTCAACAGCAGTCCTGCCTCAGCCTTCCGAATGCTAGGCTTAGGCATGTGCCGCCACCATCCTGACTGGTCCAAAAAGTTTCTTGACCATGTCGTGCGTCAGATAGCTTTGGTGGGCTGGGATGACTTGTCAGACTGGGGAATGATGATGAAAGTGGCTGTGGGTTCTGGAACTTTTCTCTTCAACCCTCTCAGGCCTAAGGCCATGGTGAGCACTGACCCTATGCCCTCTTCTCTAGACAGCGGTGGCCTGCCTGAACGCAGTGTGTCCCTGACAGGAGCCCCCGAGTCCGTCCAGTAAGTCCAAGTGGGCCTCAGTGTGAGGAGGAGGCCTTCTCGCCTCCCCATGGGTGTCCCCCAGTCCTCCATCCAGAGATGGAGCCGGCACATTGGTTCCCAGAAATTCCCATGGTCTGGGAAAGCCGCGAGCCCCAGTCCCTGCCTGGCCCTCCTCTCTGGTATCTGGGTTGTCACCTCTCTGTGCGAGGTGGGGCACCAGACCAGTGCTGTCTTTCGTGCAGCCTCACCGTTCTTTCTCTTCCCAGGAAAGCAAAGATGATGCTGGATGACATTGTATCTCGGGGCCGTGGGGGCCCCCCAGGCCAGTTCCACGACAATGCCAATGGGGGCCAGAACGGCACAGTGCAGGAGATCATGATCCCTGCGGGCAAGGCCGGCCTGGTCATTGGCAAAGGCGGGGAGACAATTAAGCAGCTGCAGGTAAGGGTGGCACGCAGGGTGAGGAGGATGAGGCGGAGCTTATGCAACCCATGGGGCCCGTACAACCCACACCACCCTCAGCTGCAGAGCCCCGTGGAGGCCCACCCTGATGGTCACTCTTGGTTGTCAAGGAACGCGCTGGGGTGAAGATGATCTTAATTCAGGATGGATCCCAGAATACGAACGTGGACAAGCCCCTGCGGATCATCGGGGACCCTTACAAAGTGCAGGTTCGCACACCCAGGGAACTGGGCTCTGGGTGGCTCTAAGCAACCAAGGTGGAGCAGGCGTTCCCGGCACAGTGGGGCTCCCTCTTGCTGTATACTTCTCTGGAAATTCGTGCCCGCTGGGGTGGCAGATAGTCCTGCGGCACATTGTTGGGCTCCTAGCAGGCTGGGAGGGGCCTGGACAGTAGGCTACACCCGTGCCAGCCATGCCCATGTTTTTGTAGCAAGCCTGCGAGATGGTGATGGACATCCTCCGTGAGCGTGACCAGGGTGGCTTTGGGGACCGGAATGAGTATGGATCTCGGATCGGTGGGGGCATCGATGTGAGTCCTGGTCCACAGGGGTAGGGGAGGAGAACAGGCGGGGCAGGGCCCCACCCCCACCCCCAAGGCCTGTGGAGAGCAGACGCAGGCTGAGCCCTTACCCTGCACTCCTCAGGTCCCAGTGCCCAGGCACTCTGTTGGGGTGGTCATTGGCCGGAGCGGCGAGATGATCAAGAAGATCCAGAGTGACGCTGGGGTGCGGATCCAGTTCAAGCAAGGTCAGGGCTGTGCCCGGGGCACCAGCCAGCCGTTAGTGCGGGCGCTGGGCTCTGTCGGCCCGGACCAGCAGGCTGGGGCATGGTCGTAGCTCAGGGCCCTGTGCCTACCTGCTGCCCTCCTGGGAGGCCCAGCAGAGGCAGTGCGGCTTGGTGGGCAGCCTGGAACCCCTGGGGCCTTTTCCTGGGCCAGTTGTCAAATGTGCGTGTCCTCTGCTTTCCACTGTAGCAGCCATGCGCAAAGTGGCTGTGTGGGGTCTTTCCAGATCCACAGAGTTTATCCTCCTATCTCCTCTACACAGCCACCGCCAGCAGGTAGCCTGGGCACACTGGGTCATCTGCCTTTCCAGCCCTCACAAGACCTCTGGGCAGCGTGTCTGTGGGCAGAGGCACACACATGCCCACACAGCTTCTTAGAAATCTGTTCTGGAAAATCGCTCAGTTGGCTCTAGGGTGCCAAGGAGAGAAGCTCTCCGGCCCCTGCCTTGGAGCAGTGCTCAGAAGTAGCACCCTGCTGTGGACCTACAGGCAGATGTGTGGCCCTGGAGGGCTTAAAGTTTTGCTTTCCTTTGACATCATTCTCTCTGCTCCCCTGGTGCTGGCCTCAGATGATGGGACAGGACCCGAGAAGATAGCTCACATCATGGGTCCCCCAGACAGGTGTGAGCATGCAGCGCGGATTATCAACGACCTGCTCCAGAGCCTCAGGGTAGGTGGCCTGGGGGCCAGGCCAGCTGCTGAGGGAGGCTAGGGAAGCTGGCAGGTTCAGGGCCAGCTCCCTGTCCTGACTTTCCTCCCTGTCCAGCAGAGTGGTCCCCCAGGCCCTCCAGGAGGTCCTGGCATGCCCCCAGGAGGTCGAGGCCGGGGCCGGGGCCAAGGCAGCTGGGGCCCCCCTGGTGGGGAGATGACCTTCTCCATCCCCACCCACAAGTGTGGGCTGGTCATTGGCCGAGGTGAGTCCACTCCTGGAAAGCACCCTCCCTGCCCTACCCCATGCCCATCTGCCTTTCACCCGCCACCTTTCTCTGCAGGGGGTGAGAATGTGAAAGCCATAAACCAGCAGACAGGCGCCTTTGTAGAGATCTCTCGGCAGCTGCCGCCCAACGGGGACCCCAACTTCAAACTGTTCATCATCCGTGGTTCACCCCAGCAAATTGACCACGCGAAGCAGCTCATTGAGGAGAAGATAGAGGTAGGCCCTTGGGGGATCTCTAAGCCTGCCCCACATTACCTCCTTCCCCCACTTAACCTTCTCTTCTCTTTACCTCCAGGGTCCGCTGTGCCCCGTCGGACCAGGCCCAGGGGGACCAGGCCCTGCAGGTCCCATGGGGCCATTCAATCCTGGCCCTTTCAATCAAGGGCCTCCAGGGGCTCCCCCCCAGTAAGTATTTCTTTCAGTTTCCTGGGGCTTGGGGCCAGGTCACTGTGCTGGCTAGAAAAAGGACAGGCTCCTTTCGGTTTCTCACTAGCCCATCTCCAGGTACCAAAGTACTGCCAGTCATTGCTCCCATAGCAGGAGGTTTTTTGTAATCCAGGAAGTTCCATGCTTGCCCTGGACAGGGGTGAGGTGTCACTGGCACCTGACGTCCTTGTCCTTGAGCTGTGGGGCTGAGTCTGGGGCCTGGGCTTCTGGGCCCTGTCAGCACACAATGTCCCTGCTGCCCCCCCCCCCCGCCCCCCGCAGGTGTCTGTCACCGCCACACCCACTCACCTGTCTGTCTCTTCTCTCCCACAGCGCTGGTGGTCCCCCTCCTCACCAGTACCCACCTCAGGGCTGGGGCAATACCTATCCCCAGTGGCAACCGCCTGCCCCTCATGACCCAAGTAAGTGACCTAGGATTTGGGGACAGCAGCCTGGGGCCTCTGGGGGGTCCCTTTCTTCCTCAAAGATGCCCCTCTTTCCCACAGATAAAGCAGCCGCTGCAGCTGCAGACCCCAATGCTGCCTGGGCCGCCTACTACTCCCACTACTACCAGCAGCCCCCAGGCCCTGTGCCGGGCCCCGCCCCTGCCCCCGCAGCCCCGCCCACCCAAGGAGAGCCCCCGCAGCCGCCCCCCACCGGCCAGTCGGACTACACCAAGGCCTGGGAGGAGTACTACAAGAAGATTGGTGAGGGTGGGGTGGGGTGGGGTGGGGTGGGGTGGGATGAGATGGGCCCCTTTCTGAGTGGCTGGACGGCTCTGATCTCGGCCCCTTGGGCCTGCCTTGTCTGCCTTGCAGGCCAGCAGCCCCAGCAGCCTGGTGCGCCCCCGCAGCAGGACTACACGAAGGCCTGGGAGGAATACTACAAGAAGCAAGGTGAGGGGGCGGCCCAGGCGGGCGGGTGGGCCAGCTGTCCCCAGGTCACTCACACTCTGCCACCCACAGCGCAAGTGGCCACCGGAGGGGGTCCGGGAGCGCCCCCGGGCTCCCAGCCCGACTACAGCGCCGCCTGGGCTGAGTATTACAGACAGCAGGCTGCTTACTACGGACAGACCCCCGGTCCTGGCGGCCCCCAGCCACCTCCCACCCAGCAGGGACAGCAGCAGGCAAGTGGGAATTGCCACCCTCCTCCTCCTCCTTTCTCCTTCCAACCCCCGGCCACCGTCCATCCTGCCTTAGTGGGTAGCGCCGGAAACCCCTTCCCCTGCGGGGTGTGCCCTTGATGCCTGCAGCGGGCCGCGTGGCCGAGGTCTCCGGGAGCGCCCAGCCCCGCTGCCGCCGCCGCCGGAAGAGCTTGCGGGGCGGAGGTGACCGGAAGAGCCCCTCCACCGCCGCTTGTTCCTGTGTAACGCTGTCGTGACGCTGGGGAGCGCAACACCCAAAGGTGGAACTTGAGGACTGGTGGGTAGTCCTGGGCCGGGCCGCCGCTCCCGTTCGCCGCCGCCGCTGGGCTGCTCACCATCCGAGATCTGGCCACTTGGGAAGTAAACGTCCATTTCCCCCCTCTCCGCATCACTTTTTGTTGTTTTTTTTTTTTTTTTTTTTTCTTTAATTTTTTAAGCCACGGTCTTACTGGGTGTCCAAGTGACTGCGTCGCCGCGCCGGCTCTGGCCAGGGAGGGCGCCCGGGAGCCTCGACCCCTCCCGCGGCCGCCGCGCTCGCTTGCTCGCTCGCCGCCTCTGTGTCCTGGTGTTGTCTGTGAAGTGGGCATGACGATCGCTGCCACCTTCCAACCTACCTCACAGGGGTGTTGTGGGGACACCGTGATCTCTGAATGTCGTTGCGCCGCCGGGAGCCGCCGCCCTCCC